TTTTATGTGCTTATATGCCATCTTTTTTTTTTTTTTTTTTTTTTTGGTAAAGTGGGGTTTGAATTCAGGTCTGCCTGACTCCAAAGGCTGGAAGAAGTCTTCCTGTAAGTTTTTAATAAGAGAGGATGGAAAAACTGCAAAATTCCCTCTTTGCACATTTCTACAGAACCATCAGCTTGAAAGCTGCTTGCTCATCCCTGGGGATGGCAACATACAAGCTCCCTTCTGTCCTTCAAAGCAAGAACTTGTTTCAACTCCAGTTCTTGTAGCCTAGCGAGCTCCTGCTCAATGGCTGGGCTAAAGCCAGGGGAGCAGGAATATCAACACAGCTGATGGCCTGGTAAGAAGGGAGAAACTACAGGGAATCATATTGGCCAAACGCTACCTTACTCCCTATATTTCTACCAGACTGCTGCAGGATGTGGTTCTATACACTTAACTCATGTCTTTCTAAATGGTGTCCAAAAGAAGGGAGGGTTCTCCAGGTAAAATTAAACTTGAGTGAAGCATAGCCCCTAGGTTCTTGAACCAATGTTATGCCTTTACTTATAAAGGATTCCAGGTTACCTTTTGCTCATCAGGGACAAAGACCTTCTTAGCTTTTTTGATCATGGGCTGGGGCTTCAGGTCTTCCTCTGCAAACTTGTGCTTCCGAGGGTTGAAGAGCTCCCCACCTGGCACACTGGAGAGGACCAGATCGGCAGGGTCAGGATTGAAGTTCACATCCACCTCCACACAGTTGGGGTCAATTGGACTGGGAGTCTCCCGCTCCTTTTCCAGGGAGGATTCTGAAAGACACAGAGGCAGGTGGTCCTGAAGAAGCCCACTGGACAGAAAGGACCCATATTACACAGCTAGACACTTGCTTGAATATCAAGGTTGCACAAATTACCACAACACAGGAGGAAGAAAACTACAACAGCACCAGCCCCTAAACCAGACTGGCACACATGGTTCAATTCAACAACACAAACATGGAAAGAATTCTTCCCTTTAGGAACAGAATACTCAAAAGGAAACTGAGGACCTGGAAAAAGACAGGATTTTTGGATTGTTTTTTCCCCCCAGAAATGTTAAGCAAAACGTGTATTCATCATACTCAACCTCCTGTGGTTTCAAGTTCTCAGGTAATGAGAAACAGCTGAATCTCTCTATGAACGATAATGAGATAATAAGTTAGGGACACAGAATAAGTAATTGAAATAGATTCCACTTTTAAGTCCCTGAGACATGTCCGTCATTATACTCATAGTCTTATCACAACTCCGAAAGGAAGGTAGGTGGTTAATTCTATTTTACAGATGAGGAAACTATGGCTCAGAGAAATGAAATGGTTTTCCCAAAGTCACACAGATGATAAGTGACTGAACTAAAATTTGTTTTTTAGGTTTTTTTGGGTAATTGACCAGTAAGGGGATCCAATGAACTAAAATTTGAATCTTGGTCTGGCTGACTCTGATACTTTGTTCTTCCCTGCCCCACCTGGATGCCACTTTATAGTGGACATTGTATTAAAGCCACTTTGATAATTCAAAAATTGTGTTATTAAAGATAAGAGTTGTATTTTTAAAAAAACTATACCTTTGGCCTATTCGTTCAATGCTACTAATAGAAGTACACAAAATAATTATTCAGTCAACAGATATTGATTGAATACCTACTATATGCCACATACTGTCCTGGCAAAGACAAAACAATATAACAAAAGGTAAAAATCTCTGCTTTCATGGAATGTCACTCTAGTGGGGAAGGCTGACATTATACAAAATAAATAAAAAATCTATAAAAATGTTAGATATATGGATATTTGGGAGAAAAACCTTTCAGAAAGAGAGTGAACATCAGTGCAAAGGTCCTGAGGTAGGTGCTTGGCTGGTATATTCAAGGAACAGCAAGGAGGCCAGTGTGGTTGGAGTGAATGAATAAGAGGGGAGAGTAACAAGACAGGTCCGAAACAGAAAATGTTAGGACTTTAATCCCAACAAAGCAGTGGTTTTCAACAGGGGATGATTCTGCCCTGCAGAGGAATTTGGCCATGTCAGAACCAGAGGGGGTACTACTGGCATCTAATTGGTAGAAGCCAGGGATACTGCTAAATATCCTATAACGCACAAGTCAGTCTCTCCTCCCACCACAATAAAAACATCATCTGGTCTAAATGTCTGATTTTGACTTTTACCCTGAGATGGGAAGCCATCAGAGGGTTCTGAGTAGAGGAGTGACATGATCAGACTTAGGTTTTAACCGGATCACATCCTATTAGAAGAGGCTAGTTACAAAGAGGTCTGAGTGTCAGAGGAGTGAATGCCCAGGGACCAATGTGGTAAATGTAGGAATATAGCAGCATGCCAAACCCCATACCTGCAAGACAAAGAGCCAAGGTACCCACCACGTGAAAATGCTGTTCAAAGTGACACCCTGTCTGGGTGCCCGTCAGCGGCAACCAAATGCCAAGTTGTGTTTAAGGCTCAGGGACAGGACAAAAGGAAACAAAAGAGGACGATTTGCAAAGAGCACATTAAAAAAAGGGTTGGGGGCAATGATTTTGAGGAATCCCCCCCTTCCCAGTGGATAACTCTGTGAAGAAATTCTAGCAACTGACTATAAGACCTTGAAATGGCTCTGCTGGGGCCGGCCTGTGGCTCACTTGGGAGAGTGTGGTGCCGATGGCACCAAGGCCATGGGTTCAGATCCCTATATAAGGTTGGCCGGTTAACTCTCATGGGAGAGTGTGGTGCTGACAACACCAACTCAGGGGTTAGGATCCCCTTACCGGTCATCTTTAAAAAAAAAAAAAGGCTCTGCTGGCGCAAGAGGGAAATGTAATAGGTCTGTTGGTAATTTGCCTAAAACAATCTTTCTTTTCTTTTTTTTTTTTTAAAGATGACCGGTAAGGGGATCTTAACCCTTGACTTGGTGTTGTCAGCACCACTCTCTCCCACGTGAGCAAACTGGCCATCCATATATAGGGATCCGAACTTGTCGCCTTGGTGTTATCAGCACCGCACTCTCCCAAGTGAGCCACGGGCCAGCCCTAAAACATTATTTCTGAGGTCCATCATTACAAAAGATGTCAAAATTAAAATCAAAGGCTGACAACTAGAACTCTATTACTCTGCTGGTGAGAGTATAGATGACTACTTTGTACACTATTTGGCAGTATCTACAAAAGCTGAACATATGCATGCCCGATTACCCAGTCATTCTATTCCTAAATGTCCAAGAGAAATGCATACATATATTTACCAAAAGACATGCACCCAAATGCTCATGGCAGCACTATTCATAACCAAAACTAGAAACACCCAAATGTCCTTCAACTACAGAATGAATAAATTGTGGTATGTTCATACAATGGAATACTATCCAACAATGAAAATTAACAACTATTGCTACATGCAACAACATGGATGATTTTCACAAACATAAAGTTGAGTGAAAGAAGCCAGATACAAAGACTACATGCTACTTAAATCTTTTTTACAGAAGGAACTGAAAATTAAGAGGAATTCTACTTTCATTTCTAGCACGCGTACAATTCTTCAATATAAATCTTACTTCATCTGTAGTGTGAATTTTCTGTCAAAAGAATATTCCGTAAGTATGTTCTATAAAACTATTTTGTTAGTGTAAAGGAGTTCTGATGCCTATATAATTTATATGTGTACTATAAAGCTAGCTACAGAAAGCTATAAATGTAATAAGAGTATAGATGTAACTAATTTATAATAGTTAAAGACAAAGAAAGAGGACATAGTATACAATTCCATTTATAGAAAGTTCAACTACAAGCAAAACTAATCTTTGGTGACAGAAATAAGAATAATGATTACCTTTGGGGAGTATGACTGAGCAGGGTCTCAAGGTACTTCAGGGATACCAATAATGTTCCATGTCCTGATTTGGGTGCTAATTACATGGATAGGTTTACTTTGTGAAGATTTATCAAGCTGTACACTTATCATATGTGCACTTGCATATGCCATACTTCATTAGAAAGGTTGATTTAAAAACAAAATCAGGGCTCATCAGTTAGCTCAGTTGTTTTGAGCATGGTGCTGGTAAAAGCGAAGTCTAGGGTTCAATCCCTGTATCAACCAGCTGCCAAACGGACAAACAAACAAATAAAAATCAAAAGCGGATGCCGGGTCGAGCCCGTGGCGCACTCGGGAGAGTGCGGCGCTGGGAGTACAGCAGCGCTCCCGCCGCGGGTTTGGATGCTATATAGGGATGACCGGTGTGCTCACAGTGCTCACTGGCTGAGCGTGGTGCGGCCGGTCTCAAAAAGGACAAAAAAAAAAGTGGATTCCATCTAAGTGGTCTCAGGTACAAGGAGGAGATCATTTCTAGCTCTGCCCCCTACCCACACATGGAACCAGCCTTTTAGGACAACTTGACCAGCACTAAAATGAGCTGCCTTCAAAGGAGAATTCCACTGGAATCATTTAAAGCCTCTAGATCTAAACAGTTTATAGGGAAAAAAATGAGGGGCAGAGGAAAATACTAAATGGCACTACAGGGACACAGCCAGCAAAATCTAGCATGTGAAAAACTCTACAGGACAAATGATTTGGTTTCATTAACAAATAAATTGCAGGACCGGCCCGTGGCTCACTCGGGAGAGTGCGGTGCTGATAACACCAAGGCCCCGGGTTCGGATCCCATATAGGGATGGCTGGTTCGCTCACAGGCTGAGCGTGGTGCTGACAACACCAAGTCAAGGGTTAAGATCCCCTTACCGGTCATCTTTTAAAAAAAAAAACAAAAACAAAAACAAATAAATTGCAAAGAAGGAGGGGAGCCTACAGATTACAAGAAATTTAAGAGAAACATCAACCAAATGCACTATGTAGGTCTTAATTATCTCATAAATGTTATCTCATTGAATGTTGATGGATTTATTGTCAATTTTAGATGTCAAATTGGCTTTTTTTTTTTTTTATAAAGATGACCTGTAAGGGGATCTCAACCCTTGCCTTGGTGTTGTCAGCACCACGCTCTCCCAAGTGAGCCAACCGGCCATCCCTATATAGGATCTGAACCCACGGCCTTGGTGCTATCAGCACCACACTCTCCCGAGTGAGCCACGGGCCGGCCCCAAATTGGCATTTTTATTGTATTTTTTTTTAAAAGAATCCTTATATTTTAGATACATATTGTAATGGATGAAATGATATAATATCTAGAATTTGATTTAAAATAATTATGAGTTAAGGATTATTGAAGCAGGGTGATAGTTACATGGAGGTTCATAATAAATAGTAGTCTCTCACTTTTGCATTTTGTTTAAAATTTTTTCCATAATAAAAAGCTTAAAAAAACCAGAGAATGAAAATTTCTTGGGTATAGGTTCCCTGGGTGATATCTGCTCCCAGGAGACATCAGCCTGAATGCCTTTGAGCCTCCAGAAAACTTTGCAGAAATCCCTGAAACAGGAGCCAGATCTCCTCTGGTGGGTTCGTGTCCAGGGGCATGAAAACAAACCAATCAACCAGCCAACCCACCCACCCCCAGAGGTAAAACAGAAAAACAAGAGGATGAAAGACAGACCCTGAAGATAACTCTCCTGGCCAGGCAATGGGAATGCCTTCTTTGTGCCAGTGCCTAAGCAGTACCTGGTTATGGAGTTGGACATCCTGGGTTCAAGTGCTGCCTCCACTACCTACCGGCTGTGTGACCTTGGGCAAGTTACTTCTCTCTGCCTCAGTTTCTTCACAGGGATAATAGTACTAATCTCATAAGGTTCTTGTGAGGATTACGTGTTAATGCCTGGCACAGAGTAAGTGCTAAGTGTTAGCTTGTATTATTATTATTAGTGCCTGACCTTCCCAGTAATCTGTGGCAAAGGGCATGTGGGGTAAAAGAGCAGCATGGAGGCAATGCAGAATGAGATTCCTATCCTGCAAAGCTTCAGACTGGAAGGGCTCTCTCCACTGTCCTGACATTTGCAGCACATCAACCAACAGAAAAGCTCCAACTGCCACTGATGTGACTACTATTTTTACCTCCAGCCCCGGAGACTGTGCTGAAGGGTGGGGAGCAGAGGATTTCTGCATACTGCAGCCCCACCAGGACCTCCCTTCAGAGAAGGGGGTCACTGGGTGTGTGGACACAAGCAGCCCTCAGTGGGAGGTGGATTTCCTTGGATGGGACAGGCGGCCCTGCCCAAAGGCCTGCCACCAACCTGTGCTGGACACAGTTTCAGAGGGCTGAAAGACAGCAGTGGAGGAGGATGGTGGGGATGCTGTGGAAGAGCTGGCAGACTCCTTCCCTTCTAGCTCGGCCACATGCAGCAGCAGGTTCTGGGCCAGGTGGGTGGGACTGGCAGGGATGCCATTCTCCAGCAGGAACTCGTCCAGGTCCATGTACTCCAGGTGGAAAGACTCGCCGTCGTATGGGATGGTCTTGTCCCAGATGGGCGGCATGAGGGAGGCTGAGACGGCCATGGTGCTGGCTGCTGCTGCCTCATCCTCCTCCAACTTTTCCTTCCCCTTTTCCTTATCTGCAGACACAAAATCTGTGATGAGACACCACACACGAGGGTAACTCAATCTCAGGAAGTGGGCAGTGAGCCCCAAAGGGCTGATCCATCTTTCTCAGAGTCCTGATTCCATCCCATGCATTTCTGTTTTCCAGTTATAACCTGATGCTCGAAGCAGGCCCGGCTGATCTCCTTTAGAGATGGCATCATACCCTCATCCATGCCTGGCCTTCCCAGAATGCTCACCATATGTTCTGAGGCCTGATACGGTCCCAGGGTTAATTCAGAATAGGCTGTGGGATTTGCATCTGCAGTTGAGAGGCTACAAGGAAGGAAGTGGAGTTTCTGACCCTTCCTGATATCTCAGCATGGAATGGGCTGAGATCTTTAGGCCAAGAACTTTTGTGTTCTCCTGTCCTGTTCCCTCCAATTATGCTTCTCCATAGCAACCCAGACCAGGGCTGAATCCCAGCTGTGCCACCCACTTGCTGTGTGATGACCCTATCCACATTACTTAACTTCTCTGAGCCTCAGTGTCTTCCACTGTAAATAAGCATAAAGCTGCCTCTTTGGTGAAGATTACAGATAACATCTGAAAGTGTCTTACAGAGTTCCCAGCACATGGTAGGCATTCATTATTACTGTGAGCTCAGTAAGGGCAAAGACTGTATCTGATTCATTTTTAGATCTCAGGGGCAAACAAAGGAGTAGGCAGACAGTGGGCTATGAGAAAATGCATGTACTGAATGAAGAATATTGGATTTGTAAACAGATTTGCTTTAGATTTATTAGAGAGGGACTGGAGCTTATCTTCTCAGGATATTTTTCAGAGCAACTATTTCAAGAGATCTTTATCCCTGAACAAGTAAAAAAGACTGAAGGTAGGTTTTCTGGGAGGAAGGACAGGAATGGAGCTGAAGAAGACAGACTGCTCCTATTCAAAGCAAAACTAATCAACTAGTGGGGACTGGATCCCACCTAATTGTCTCCGTTAAAAAGTTATGCACATGGATATCCAAGAGAGGGCAATTAAGAATAAAAAGACTAGAGAGAAATGTGACAAGGTTGGAAGGAAATCAAAGTGACAGGGAGGCAAATCAGAGAAGTGGGAGATAAAATCATGACAAGTTCATAATGGGTTTTCAAAATTGAGGGAGACAACTTTGAACTCTGGAGTTAGAAGTAAAAAGGAGAAATCAAATATGATTATGTTAGATATAAACCAGTCATGCATGGACTCCTAGACACAGCCAAAAAGCAGCCTATTGGTCCAACAAAAATGGACACACCCAGTGAGTTAAGAAAGTGGAGGTTTTGACAAACAGAACTTGGTCGTGGCTGCTAATACAAATTAACTTGAATTATTGCAACTGCCTTCTCTACCAGACTTGGCTTAAAACCAATTGGGAAATAAGAAAGCCAAGGCTTGGTGAGCTGGGTGGGCCAGATGGCCTCCCTGCTCTGTTCCTCTGAGATCCTGACCCCACATTCTGTTCAGAAATGACTGTGACCCATGTTGGGTGGGGTCATTTGGGATCAAAAGAAGCAGAAGGAAGGAGACAGAGAAGCAGACATACTGAAGGACAAGCAACAATAAGTTCCAGGTTTTGCCTGGCCTAAGCAATTAAGGATATTTTATATCAGCGTTTTTGTAAGGTGGTGTTTTAAATTGTAAGAGACTAGGTCCAACACTCAGGTCACAGGGATTGACACCAGTGGTTGCCAATGTAGTAATATAGTTGAAAGAGCACCAGACAGAGTCATAAGGCCTAGCTATGTGACCTTGAGGAAGCATCCTCACCTCTCCAAGCCTCAACTTTCCTCATCTGGAAAGTAGGGATAATATCCTATAGGACTGTTTTGTAAGCCTACATAAAATAAGATTATGTCAAAATATTTTGTGAGCACTCTGCAAATGTAAGGTAGAGTTATTATTATGGATAGTTATTAACTGATAAACAAGAACCTGCCAGATGTGTACACCTGTCTCTGCAGCTTGTCTCAATCCCAGAATTGGAACAAAGCACTGCCTTATAAACAAACGGGTCTGTGCACATGGGGTGAAGCGGGAGGAGAGAGCCTGGCCTCACCTGATGTGCTAAAGCTATTTATAACCCAACAGTGACAGCCATAGGGATGGGAGCCTCAGAACACACCCAGGAAAGGAAGAGAAAAGGTATTTTTTAAAGGAAAATTAATTCTTCAGGATAGACAATTTACAGAAGGCCTATCCCTTCCAAACTCCCTGAAATTACACTGATGGCTCTTGGAAATTCAAACATGTCAGACTGAAAGCATACTTCAGTGCATCTAAAACCCCACCATAGGTGGCATTCCTGCTGCTTTATGAACCTCATCTCCCAGGCCAAAAAACAAGGCCAAACCTACTTTCCACACATGCTCTAGGGACCTTTGTGGCTTAAGCAATAAGATGAAGCGCAGTCCTGCCAATGTGGCCCCAAAGACTAGGGTCAGCCCAAACACCCAGGGGAAGGGCCTCAGTGGCTTCATCCTGACCCTCATCCCATCCCTGTTTCACCCCGCACCCCTCCCCCACAGGCACGTCAGCAGCAGGCCCTAAGCACATTTCCAGAAAATCTCCAGCGTGGACCTAGCAGCTGGGGATACTCACACCCAGGCAGGAAGACAGGTCCTTGCCCGAGGCGGGGGGAGGCCACATACCAAGACAACCCGCTACCGTAGACCAGTGCTTCTCAAACTTTGGTGGACTGTGCAACCATGGGGGCGGGGTGCGAGGAGGTGCTCTTTAAAATGCAGACTCCTGTCCCAGGAGCCGCAGACCGGGTGGGGCCCAGGAACCGGCATTTTAAACAAGCATCCCGAGTGACTCCGCACCAGGCGGCCCCAGGGCACAGATGCCCTGGCGCGTCACTTAAGTGGCTGCCCCTGACCTCCATCAGACTCCTCATGAACCCCTCCACGAACCTCCTCCTCTCGCCCACCCTCCCACCCTCCCCCTCCTGACTCCTCTCTCAGCTCATCTCCTGATCTCCTCTCCCTAAGCCCCTCGCCTAGTCCTCCAGAGCCTTCGTTATCCCCAGACCCCGTCCCCCTCCGCTGGACCGCTTCACCGGCCAGCTTCCCGGGATCGCGGCTTCGGATTGGCCCACCTGTCAGGGGGCAGGCGCAGCTCCCCGGGCCGTGATTGGCTAGGCGGCCGGGTGAGCGAGACACGTGCGGGGCCGGGTGAGGAGTCCCCGCCCCGTCCGCCCCTGGGCCCCCTGATTGGCGCCTGCTGAGCCCGTGGCGTAAGGCCTTTTGGGAGGCAGCTCCTTCCTCTCTACCGGTTGTTTTCCCTTCGCTACCCTCTTCGTGACCCTGTCCTGCTCCCAAACCCCCGTAGCCTCTTTCCTTTTCCTCTCGTCCCAATCTCGCAACCTTCCGGACGCGCCACAGAAGGGAGGCGGGGCTGGACGCGGACGGGCCGGCCGTGGGAGCCCGATAGCCGGCTCGGGCTGCGGGGACGACCGACCGTGGGTCACGTGGAGCTGCAGCCGAGTCTAGTCACGTGGGGAGGGGGAAGAGGAGGCGGGCGCGGCGACAGCCAATGGGGGCGGGGCCCGGGGTGGTGCACGAGGCCCCGCACGTGCGGGGCTGCGGCGGGAGGGGAGGCGGGAGGTGGGGGGCCTTTTTGTTCCGAGGACTCTGCTCAGGGTCGTCGAATGGGGGCGACACGCCTCCTCTCACGCGACCCAGAGGTTGGCTGAGGGCAGAGCCGTAGGGGTGGCCTGGGCGGGCTTGGCCGCCGCTGGAAGGGGTGTCAGGTTGCCCACTGATCCCGGCTTTGTGGTGCGGGCGTGGCGGCCAGATAAACACTAACGTGGAGGGAGCGTTCTTCAGGCCCAGCCTTGAGGCAGAGCCGGGTACACGCTTCCGTCCTCCCACTTACTAGCTTGTGACCTTGGGAGAGTCCGGTGCTTCGCTTGAGCTTGTTTCCTTGGCCATAAAATTAAGAGGTTGGGCTAGAAAATCTCTACGGTCCTCTACAGCTCTGAAATTCTGTTCATTTCTAGGACTTTCCCTTTCTTTTCCTAGAAAAAAACAAAACACAAGTCTTTGACACGAGGTGCCAATCCCACATTTTGTGGGAAACCACCTTCTTTCTCAAAATATAAATACTGCTTGGGAAACCTGTAAAAATATTAAAAGGTGAAGGGGTACACAAATGTAAAGACGTCATCGGAAGCCTCTAACTTTGTACCTTTTCGTAATACAAATCATATTCTGCTTCAAACCCAAACAGTACTAGACTCTCCTGGCTTAAACTCCTCGAGGGCAGGGACTTTGCTTATTTATCCTGTATCCCAATGGCTTCGGGCCTCAGAATAGGAGGGGCTGGGGGGAATGTAGGATGGCAGTTCTTGGTTCAGGGGGCAGGTGCATGACCGCATCACCCAGCTAGTTGAAAGTTGTCAGGTTGATGCAATCAGAATTTTGCTAGGAGTTGAAGAAAAAGAAGTTGGGTAGCTAAGCAGGCCTGGAAAGCAAAAATTTGAAGGACTTCGAGTGGTGTTAGGAACAGGGTGATGGAGTCTGACTCCAGAATTCAAGTTCTGGACTGGCCCATTAGCTCAGTTGGTTAGAGCACAGGGTTAGGGTTAGGGTTAGGGCAAGGTCAAGGGTTCGGGTTCCGGCACCAGCCAGCCGACCAAAACCCCACAAAATTCAAGATATTGCTGCTACACTAAGTAGACTTCCTTTACTTTCTGAATCTGATGTCTCCCGCCCATTGCCTCACCTCTCCAGGCCTCCTTTTCTTTACATGTCAAATGGAACTCCCTATGGGGCTCCTGGGAGCCAATGTGTGCAAGTGCACGATTGCAAACCTGCAACAAATGGTGGTTTTTATAATTTTACTAAAACTGTGATGGTATTGGATCCACTGGTTAGTGTGTCTGTTATCCTAGAGGCTAGTGCCTATATCACTTTCATTAGACAGTGACTATATCACTCTCAATTTAGTGGAAATAGAAAGTTGGGCACAGAAAATCTTAATGTTT